CCCCGAGGGCGAGGAAGTCCGGTCCGGGCGAGAGGAACGAGGAGCTGATCCCCAGGCCCCCGACCACGCAGGTTCTCGTCGGCATCAAGGCCAAGTTCGCCGCGCTGCCTGGAATCCTGCAGGGGCGCGTCAACGCCGCGATCGCCAACGGCAAGTGCGACTACGACTCGGGCGGCGTGGGCGCTCACTGGACGTACATCATCGGCGAGTCCTCGCCCGCGATCCGGCCGAGATGCAGCCGAGATGCAGCCGAGCTCCAGCCGAGTTGCAGCCGTGATCCCGCCGTGAGCGAGCCGAGACTATCGGCCGCGAGGACGCCCTCGGCCGCTCAGCCCCCGCCCCCCCCTTCTCTCCGCTGCCGCAGGCAACCTCATCTTCAAAAAGGTGCAGAAGCTGCTCGGCGGCAACGTGGAGCTGATGGTGACCGGCAAAGCGCCCTAGAAGCGGAAGACGGAGTCGTGTCCTCCAACCAGCGCTCGAGAGGACCCGCCCTCCGCTGTCGTCGACCGTATTCGTACCCCTCGCATTCACGCGGGGCTCTGAAGTCTCCGCACGAGACCGTTCTTCCCGCCCTGATGTCGGTGTCTTCACCCCGTAGGCTCGGCGCCCCTCGGCGCGGAGGTGCAGAAGTTTGTGCAGACCGTCTTCAAGTGCCGCGTGCGGCAGGGCTACGGCCTCACCGAGACGTGCGCGGCCACGTGCATCGCCCTCGCGAGCGACAACACCACGGCGCAGGTCGGGCCACCGCAGATGTCCGCGTGCATCAAGCTGCGCGACTGGGAGGAGGCGAGCCGCTTTCCGAGACACTTCCAAGACACTTCCAAGGCACTTCCGAGGCACTTCCGAGGCACTTCCGCCGAGGCACGCTTAAATGCCGTGGGGCTCCTGTCTTCTAGACGTGGAGTCGCGAGGGCTGCCTGGCCCTTGCCCCACCACCTCGTGTGTGGAGAAGTTCACCTTCCCTTCCCTCACGCCCAGGGCGGCTACATGAACGCCGACAAGGACAACAAGGAGATCGGCATGCCCCGCGGCGAGATCCTCATCGGCGGGCCGGGCGTGTGCGACGGCTACCTCGTCGACCCGGCCGCGCCGGACCCGGACGTGGTGGCGAAGAACCGCGACGAGTTCGTGACGATCGACGGCCAGCGCTACTTTTGCACCGGCGACGTCGGCCAGTACACGCCCGAGGGCAACCTGATGATCATCGATCGCAAGAAGGACCTGGTCAAGCTGCAGCAGGGCGAGTACGTCGCCCTCTCCAAGGTTGAGAACGTGCTCAAGACGTCGCAGTACACGGCGCTGCCGATGGTGTACGCGCTTTCCTCGATGTCGTACTGCATCGCGCTCATCTGCCCAAACGAGGGCCCGCTCATGAAGCTCGCGGCCTCGCTCGGCGTGTCGGGAGATCTCGGCGCCGTCTGCGAGGACGCAAAGGTGGTCGCCGCCGTGCTCAAGGACATCACCGCCGAGTGCAAGAAGGGCAAGCTCGCCAAGTTTGAGATCCCGACCAAGGTCATCCTCGTCGCCGAGCTCTGGACGCCGGAGAACGAGCTGCTCACGGCGGTGAGCGCTCGCCCCCCAGGGTGGCGGGCTTCCACGGAGGCCGGGGCTCCCTGAGGGCACTGGCGGTGCGAATAGGTGCGCAAGCTCAAGCGGCGCGAGATCGTCGCGTGCCACAAGGCGCAGATCGACAAGTGCTACGTCTAGGCGGCCGCGCCCTGGGCGAGCGGCCAGAACCAAAGTAGGAGTGTTCATTTGGCATGCGGGGAGTTTCCCCTCTTGCCTTGGACGGAGCGGGGACCCACCCTCGAGCGCGTGGGCTGCGGCGGCGGCCTGCGGGAGCGTGCCCGGGGCGCCCTCTGTTCCAGCTGGGTACTAGACTAATTTATGGCATTCATGCAGAGAACAGTGTGGTGAGAGCCCCACAAGTGAAGGTGGATTTTCAAACGGCCCCTCACTGTACGGTAGTTTGCCCGGCCGGCGGCGTCGATCGCAAGCATGTGCGGGCCGAACAGCGCCACAGCCTCGGGCTACAAGACGCAGGACCACCTGCAGCCGGCACCTGCGTCCGAGGCCGCCGATGGAGACCTGGTGGTTGAGGAATTCCCGATCAGCTTTGGTGGCTACACGTATCCACACGGCCGCATCGCCTACGTCAAGGGACGGCAGCCAACCCCCGTCATCCTCGTCCACCACAACTACGCGGGCTGCAAGCGGTTTGACGTGGACCAGGCGGCGTACCTCGCGCTCTGCGGATACGTCGGGCTCGCGGTAGACTTATACCCGGAGTGCGAGATGTACACTTCAGCCGACCGCTCCGTGAACGTCGACAGGGCCCGCCACTTCAAGGGCTCGTTCGACTACATGCAGTCGCTTCTCGTCGACCCAGCGAAGTGGCGCTCGCTCATGGGCGCGTTCATGGCTGCGGCGGACGTACACCCCGCTGTGGCGGCCGGGAAAGCGGGCTGCATCGGCTATTGCCTCGGCGGCCAGAGCTGCTTCGAGCAGCTTCGAGCTGGTCACGCGATCCAGGCGCTCGTCTCGCTGCACGGGCTGCTCCACTCGCGGCCGATGGTCGAGGGCCTCCCCTTTTGGGACCCGCTCCAGCGCATAAGTGCCGAGGAGTACGCGCAACGCATCCAGCCGCCGCCGAGCGCGATGACGCCTGGTTGCATTGTGCTCGTCGAGAACGGAGCGGACGACGAGCACGTGCCGGAGGACATGCAGAAGGAGTGGATCAAGGAGATGGACGGCAGCGGGGTCGACTGGCGCTTCACCAACCATGCGCGAACGCCACACGGCTTTGCACTCGCCCCCGGCGTCGTCGCGACCTCGTACATGGAGGCGGCCGATCGTAGGTCGACCCTGTCGATGCTTGGCGCGTTCGCAGAGGCATGGCCGCATGTCGAGCAGCACCATGTGACGCGCAACGCCTCGGGCACCATCATCCCCTACGCGATCCCCACCTCCGCCGAGCTCGCGCTGCCGATCAGCGCCATCGGCGATGCGAAGCCTCGGGGTTAGCTTCAGGGCTTGTGTGTTGGAAGGATCTGTTTTTAACCTAGCCTCGATTTCTTTTGCGTTGCCCGCTTTTCCTCGCTGTGTGTGCATGTGCATTTAACATCTGACATGCTCGCTCACACGCACGCACGCTGCGGCGCCAGCGACAGCGAGGCCGCGATTGTGCTCCTGCACGGCTTCCTGGGCGATCGGCGCGACGTCGAGCCGCTGCGCCAAAAGCTCGGCGCTCTCGCGGACAGCATCAGCCTCGACCTTCCCGGGCACGGCGACAGTGCGTGGATGCCGACCATCGACGCTGGGACGTCCGCCGTTGACGCCGCGCTCGCGACGCTAGAGGCGCTGTGTCCGCCGCCTGCGCGGCTGCTGCTCGTCGGGTACTCGATGGGTGGCCGCGTGGCGCTCCAGCTGGCGGCACGCCTGCCGCCGCCTCGCCTCGCCGGACTCGTCATCCTGAGCGGTAGCCCTGGGCTGGACGACGGCGCGTTGCGCGAGGCGCGGCTCTCTCGCGACGTTGCCCTCGCCGCGCGGCTGCGAGCGATGACCCCGCCGCACTTTGACGAGTGGCTGCGACGGGAGTGGTATCGTGCGGCCTTGTGGGGTGGCCGGCTGCAAGAACACCCCTCCTTTGAGCGA